CTATATGCCGTGATGATTAACCTATGCTGTAGTATTACAATTCAGTAATGAGGAGAAAATTGGGAAGGTCTGGGAGTAGGGACGTTCACATCCCTGTTTTCCTCACTCAAAGGCTTTGGGTGACGAATGACATCATGTACTACATAGTATTGGATTCGACCAATATCGACGACGAAATTTCAAATTTTCCTCTCAGACCATTTTATTACTGATATTTCAAACATACACACAAAAATAATGTGAAAGACTCAGACTGCAATCACTTCAGTTGCAGTACCGTTCCCGCAACACAGACACCACATGCAACAGGACATCTGTTCCTTGTAGCGGCCCGAATCCTCAGATTACGATGTTCACACATTCGCTGAATATTTGCCTGAGTGCAGAAACCACGCCCATTCCGAGCAAACTCGTCGAAACACACTGAAAGTTCACTTTGAAAGTCGATAACTGAATATTGAAAAAGAAACCGAGTTCACTCACTCTTACAATAGCCACAAGTTACTGGACATGAGTTTTTCATGAAATCCGTGAATCTGCAAAGGAAAATAGACGGTCGTTTGAAGACGACGTTGGGTGGGAATAAAATTTCTAAATGATTGCTTCTGAACAGCACATAAGATGAATGACGAAGCTCACCCAGTCCTTGTGCACAGGTTTTTCCTACGGCGGCAGTCGGAACGTCCTGTTTTCGGGTTTATAAGATCAGTACACGTCTTTGGAGTGGTGGTGGTAGTTGCCGCTACAGTTGTGTTCAACTGAATCAAGAAAATAAGCCTGGGGTATACCAGCAACATACGTTTTCATTTAATCATTAAAGTGAATTCACAAGTGAAGTTCCAGGGAGAACGACCGGTAGGTGCTGACCCGTAAGGCAATGCTAGCCAAAGTACACAACGCTACCTCAACCTAGGCTATAGGAACTACTAAAAACCAGCTTCTCTCTCCAAAGGCTTACTGAAGAGAGTATGGACAAACAACATCAACCTCACTAACGGCAATCGTCCCTACTTCAGCGACGATCTCTCCCGTTTGAGGAGCTACTAACAGGAGAAGCGTGAGAGACGCTCTTCAATAATTCGAAAAACTCGCAATGTACCTGTAAGTTAGATTTCTATGAATTCTCACTCTAAGTCAACTCCCACGTTAGTAATGCGTGGAGTTTGTCAACCCCAATAAGGCGTGCTCTTCATGAGCCGAGCTCGAAGACTGCTCACGAACCACCCAATTTCGTTCTTCAACGAATGTAGTAAACAAGGACAATGCTCATCCCTGACAGTTGTTACAGGTAATAAAATACTTATAAAAAATAGTGCTCGTCATTCTCACTCACCTTACTTACCACTACAGTTGTGGTCTTCTCGCTTTCGATGGATGACGTCACATTCTCCACAGTAACTTCCCCAGGCACTGTAGTTTCTTTTAGAAGTTGTTCTTCGGACGTTGTTGGTGCATCGGTCACTATAGGCGTCGTAGTTTCCTCTAGAACCTGCTCTCCGGGTGTTGTTTTCTTATCGGTCACTTCAGTCGTCGTAACTCCCTCCAAAAGTTGCTTTTCCGGTGTTGTTGCGACTACATCAGGAGTACTATTTTCCAGTCGGGGTTGCTCTTCAAGTGTTGTGGGCCGTTCGAACAGTTTTTCCGTAGTTTCATCTGTCGTCATGGCCAGATTCTCAAAAATGGTGGTGGTGTCGCTTCGTTCCTCCACTGGGAAATCCTTTGGGGATGTCAAATCTGGAGGGAATTCCGTATCAGCATCTAGAGTTCCCGTCTCGTTGACCTGAAAAGAATTATGTAATGAAAATGTTGTACAGACGTCCCAATCGAACACAAATATTTGGATTTATTTGAAACCCCTTATCCCTTATCCACTCTGAAATCAACGTATCTACCCAAAACGCCAGAGGGACGATCCAAATAG